TTTGGGGGGGATGGGGTGTATTGGTGGGGGCTGGGGCAAGCTGGGGTGGGCTGGGGCAAATTAAGGGGGGGGCTGGGGCAAGCTGGGGTGTCTCAGGTAAATGTTGGGGGGTCAGGGGTGGAGTGGGGCAGTCTGGGGCAAATTTGGAGGTGTCAGGGCAAATCAAAGGGGGGCAGGGGGAAAATTGGGGGGGGCGGGGCTATTCTGGGGGGGCCTGGGGTAAATTAGGGGGGGTCATCGGTATAGTGGGGGGTGCAGGGCAGATTTGGGGGTGCAGGGGCAAATCTAATGCTCAGGGCGGGGGGAAATGGGGGTCAGAAACAATTTGGGGGGGATCAAGGGCAAATTTTAGGGGGGCTATTGGGGGGGGTGGGCAGGGCCAAACCATCCCTCCCCACACGCACTTGCCAAGCGTTCTTTGCTCTTTTGTGGAGATTCTCTGCTGTCTAGTATGAGGTTGTGCCCCACTTTTTTGTCCCTGCTGCGGGGTGGGGGGTGGGGGATGAATCCAGGATTTGGGGGGGGCAGTTGAGCCCCAGATGTGTGTGTGTGTCCCCCCCACTCAGGACGTGGGGTCCTTCCACCTCCTTGTGTGAGCGGTGCACGGCCCTCGTGTGAGCGTCGCACGGGGAGGATTTCCTGCTGACGGAGGCCAGATAAGGCCACAATGGGGGGGGGGGGGAGGGTTTGGGGGGCCCCCCCCTTGCAAAACTCGGACGCTCAGGTTTTTTTGTTTTTTGGTTTTTTTTTTTTTTGGCTCTAAGCAGCGGGCCCGCGACACCTAAAAATGTGGGGCACCGGGGGGGGTGGGGGGTGGGGGGTGCCCACACGTGTGCACTCGTGCATGAGCGCTTGCACGTGTAGTTGCGGGTCCACCTGCACCCGCACACGCGTGTGTACGTGCACACGTGTGCCCAGTCGCCAGCGGTTTCTTGCTTTCGCACGCGCCCGCCCGCGTGTTTGCACACGTGTCCGCCCGTGCGCACAGACCGGGGCGTGTATTTGCGCCCCCTTTTTTGGGGGTGATTAAGGCCATTTTGGGGCACTGGGAATCATAAATAAATTTATTAAACAATAAATAAAGCGGCTCCGAGCGCCGGTTAATAATTTAAAGGGGGGGAGGGCCCCCCCCAGGCCAGCTGGGGGGAGGGGCTGGGACCAGCAGGGACACCCCCCCCCGTGGATACGGGGGTCTCCACAGTCCCCAGTGTCCCCAGACTGGGGGTCTGTGAGGTCCTTTGGTGTCCCCCAGTGTCCAGCACTGGGGTCCCCCATTGCCCAGGGCGGGAGTGTCCAATGTCCCTTGATGTCCCCACATCTCCAACGTGAAGGTCTGTGAGGTCCCGTGACGCCCCCAACCCCCAAGCAGGGCTGGGGGGTGTCTCTGGACCCCACATCTCCAGGCACAGAGGTCTCCAAGCTCCCTCGATGTCCCCAGTGTCCAGGCAGGGGGGTCTCCGACGTCCCTTGGTGTCCCCACATCTCCAAGCAGGGGGTCTCCAGCCCAAACATCCAGGCGCAGGGGTTCGCAATGTCCCTACTGTCCCAAATCTTTAAGCATGGAGGTCTCCAAGGTCCCCTGATGTCCTCAGCCTTCAAGCAGGTGGGTCACCAGCCCCAGATCTCCAGGCGTGGAGGTCAACAATGTCCCTCGATGTCCCCAAATCTCTGGGCACGGGGGTCTTGGGACCCAAATCTCCAGGCGTGGAGGTCAGCAGTGCCCCCAGATGTCCCCAACCTCCAACCAGGCGGGTGACCAGCCTCCAATCCCGTCGGTCACCCCCTTGCCACCCCACACGTCACCCTCCGGCGATACGCAACAGCCCCACGAAGTTGCCCTCCCGCTCCTTCTGTGCCAGCTGCCACCCGTCCCTGTCCCTGTCCCTGTCCCCGTCCCCGTCCCCGTCCCTGGCCAACGCCAGGCTGAGGACATCCCCGGGTCGAAGCTGCCCAACGGCTTGGGCCAAGCCGGACCGTGCCAGGTCGGATCCCGCGCTGCCGGGCAGCACCAAGGGCACGGCGAGCAACGGGCGCGGTGAGCCGGCACGCCAGAGCTGGAGGGTGACGGTGCCGGGGGGACACGTGGATGCCGTACAGGTGAGGGCAAACTGGCCGTAGAGGAGGTAGAGGCCACCCGCTGTCACCCGCAGCTCCCCGGCTGTCATCTGCACGTCACCGCTGAGGAAGACGCCGTTGATGCCTTCCTCGTAGCGCCAGCCGGGTCCCGATGGCACCGTCAATGAGCCTGGGGGGGACAAGAGGGGAGGGGGTGTGGGTGATTCCGGGCGGTGATGGGTGCTCCTGACGGGAGATGGAGGTCCCTGATGGGAGGTGGGGTGACCCGATGGGAGGTGGGGTGACCCTGATGGGAGATGGGGTGACCCTGATGGGAGATGGGGTGACCCGATGGGAGGTGGGGTGACCCTGATGGGAGGTGGGGGTGGCCCAACAGAAGATGGGGTGACCCTGATGGGAGCTGGAGGTTCCTGATGGAAGATGGGGTGGCCCAATAGGAGATGGAGGTTTTTGATGGAAGATGGGGTGACCCCGATGGGTGGTTGGGGTCCTTGATGGGACATGGGGTGACCCCAATTAGAAGTGGGCGCTCCTCCTTGGCAGTGGGTGCCCCCAGTGGGAGATGGGTGCTGCAGCCCTCCTTGATGCCCCCCCCCGGGCACTGCTGCCCACCCAGGGCTACCTGGGATGGGACCAGGGGACCACAGGGATGGAGGGGGCTCCTCGGGGACTGTGGGGACAGGGGACACTGTGACACCGCAGGGATGGAGGACCCTCCATGACAACCTGGGGACACTCCATGACACCCCGGGGATGACGGGGACAGGGGATGCTCCGTGACACCCTGGGGACCACAGGGATGGAGGGTGACACCCTGGGGACACTCCGTGACACCCTGGGCACCAGCAGGACAGAGGATGCTCCGTGACACCCTGGGGAGCACAGGGACAGAAGATGCTCCGTGATGCCCTGGGGACACTCTGTGACACCCCCGGGGATGACGGGGACAGGGGATGCTCCGTGACACCCCAGGGACCAGAAGGATGGAGGATGCTCCGTGACACCCTGGGGACACTCCATGACGCCCCGGGGATGACGGGGACAGGGGATGCTCTGTGACGCCCCGGGGACCACAGGGATGGAGGATGCTCCGTGACACCCTGGGGACACTCCATGACGCCCCGGGGACCAGCAGGACGGAGGACGCTCCGTGACACCCTTGGGGACATTCCGTGATGCCCTGGGCACCAGCAGGACAGAGGATGCTCCGTGACGCCCCGGGGACCACAGGGATGGAGGATGCTCCGTGACGCCCCGGGGACCAGCAGGACGGAGGATGCTCCGTGACACCCTGGGGACACTCCATGACACCCTGGGCACCAGCAGGACAGAGGACGCTCCGTGACACCCCCGGGGACACTCCGTGACGCCCTGGGCACCGCGGTCGCCCTGTGACACCCCCAGATGCTCTCAGGCCCGGGATGACGTTTCCTCTCCGGGGGCGGAAGGAGAAACCCGCGCGACGTTTTCGAGATGACTGGGCGAGCCGCCTAAGGAAGGACTAACCGCTCCCCCCACCCCCCAACCTCTTCTTCCTCTGACCCCCGCCTTGGGGCCCCCCCCAAAATGCTGGAGCCCCTCACCGTGGCGTCAGGCCCGGGAAGGGGGGGGACTTACCAGCGCTCAGCAGCACGTGGGCGGCCGTGGCAGCCTGCGAGGGAGAGGAACGAGAGTGTCAGCGGGCGGGAAGGACCGAGGCGTCCTCATCCTCATTTCTCGTGTGTGTCCCCCCCCCGCCCCCCCGCTTTCGGTGAAGGGGAAGTTGGGTGTCGCAGCAGGATTTGGGGACTTTCCATCCCCCCCTTGGGTATTTTGGGGGGTCCCCAGGGCGAGGGGACGACCCCAGGATTTGGGGGAGGGAGGTGGGATTTGGTGGGTTTGGGGATGGGAAACTGAGGCACAGAGGGGGCGGGTTGGGGGCTTGATGTATCCTCCCCCCCCCCCCCCGACCCCCGCGGGTGGATCCGTGGGGACAGACGGACACCACTGGGATGGATGGACACACGGACAGGCAGAAGGATGAGGAGAGGGGGAAGCCCAGGTGGATGGACAGCTGGACAGACCGATGGGTGGACGGACATCCAGAGGGATGGACAGACACCTGGACAGCCGGCCAGGTGGACAGGCATGTGGACGGACAGACGGATGGACACGGAGACAGTGGGATGAACATCCGGACAGACGGACGTGTACACAGACGCCTGGATGGATGGACGGACAGATGGATGGACCCCTGGAAAGACAGACATGCAGACAGACGCCTGGGTGGATGGACACCCAGACAGACAGACGGACAGACCACTGGGCAAGAACATCCAGAGGGACGAACACCTGGATGGACATCCGGACAGACACCCAGGTGCGCAGCCTGACAGACAGACGGACAACTGGACCTCCAAGTAGACACCCAGATAGGTGGACAGATGGACAAACAGATGGGCAGGGTGGACAGATGGACAACCGGACTGAAACCGGATGCTCAGACAGGCAGACACCCGGATGGATGGACAGATGGACACCTGGGCAGACAGACAACCAGACACCTGGCTGGATGGACACCAAGGCTGGTGGACAGACAGACAAGTGGGCAGGTGGACAGATGGACACCTGGCTGGATGCCCAGTCAGCCACCTGGACAGAGGACAACCGGACACCTGGATGGAGGGACACCCAGATGGATGAACACCCAAGCTGATGGACAGACAGACAAGTGGGAGACAGGAGGATGGAAACTGGACAGACCCCCAGACAGACGGACACCGGCCACCCAGACTGACAGACACCTGGACAGATGGACAAATGAACAGACAGAAAAAGGGACAATTGGATGGACCCTTTAGATGAACATCCCCCTGGATGGATGGAACCCCGGACAGATGGACACTGGACAGACGGACAACGGCCAGCAGGACAGATGGATGGAGTCACACCAGGACAGACAGACACTTGGACAACCTGGCACTTGGGCAACCAGACAGACGGATGGACACCAGGACGGACAGGCAGATGGACACCCACATACCTGGACGCTTGGACAACCAGACAGACGGACACCAGGACGGACAGATGCCTGGGCAACCAGACAGATGGGTGGACACCAGGATAGGCAGACAGACAGACAGACACCCAGATACCTGGACGGTTGGACAACGAGGCAGACGGACACCAGGACAGACAGACACCAGGGTAACTGGACAACTGGA